GCTTCCTGGGAGTCAATATAGAGGAGAACCTTTCCTGGAGTGTGAACACCTCCGAGCTGCTGAAAAAGGCCCAACAGAGACTGTACTTCCTGAGAATTCTCAGGAGGAATAACATCACACAGAAACTGCTGGTGTCCTTCTACAGAGCCACCATTGAGAGTGTTCTAACTTACTGCATATGTATTTGGTACACTAGCTGTACAGGGGCTCAGAGGAAAGCACTCCAAGGGATCATTAACACCGCCCAAAAGATCACTGGCTGCCCTCTCCCCACACTAGAAGTTCTACACAATGCCCACTGTTTTAAAAAGGCCCAAAACATCATAAAAGACGTGATTTCCGGTGCCGCTCAGGTACGTCCTCCTAGACCACGCCCCGCCACACACATTAACCAGGTAAAATACATATTTAGGCAGAATTTTGCAAATATCTATTTTTCTTTTTTCAGCAGCAGAGTGCTTTTTTTCCAATTATTTTTTAAAAGCCAGGTCAAGGCTCCAAAAGCCCAAAGGCGATATAAGGGTGGCGGCTCACAACAGTTTTTATTTGCTACATGGATCGTTTTAGTTCAGCTGGGTGTCTTTCCTTTTGTTATATTTCTTTAAGAGTTCAAAATGTGTTAATTACATAAATAAAATGTAATTTTCTCTGTAGCACTTCATGGATTTCAGAAGCAACACACCTTAGTTGTTCACACAAAGCATAAAGGTAAAAAACAATATATACAGTGTTATCTTGATTTTAGATGTCAAAAAGTATTTGCGGCTCACAGTGTTTTCTTTTGCGTGGAAACCGGGTGCAAATGGCTCTTTGAGTGTTAAAGGTTGCTGACCCCTGCTTTATGGCATGCTTATTTTTCTTTAAAATGTCCAGGCACTTCTGTATGAGCTTACCCAAAGAGATGTTGCTCAAATGTTGCCATGACTACTTATAACCACACTGAAATGAAAAGCGGAGGATAAAACCTGCTGCCTCTCAGAAATACCTAATTAAATTAAAGAGTTGTGGTAACCATTTGGACAACAGCACAACAATTCTGGGACATGTGACATGGGTCTTCATAATCTCTTTCACACACATAGAGTAATCAGTTAATACAGTTTTTCCAGGTGGACGAACGCATCTGCTCTGCCAAAGTTTTAAAGCCTTTGTAGAGTCAGGAATGTTCCCACATTCTGGTTCTTATATAATGCCTCTCAAAACACTTTATACAACTTGCCTCACTTACCCATCCACACAAGCTCTTTTTCCTACACCTAAGTGCTTTTTATCTAATACTCACAATTCAATGAAAACATCATTGAATTCAGTTTCTTACCCAACGATACTTTGGCATATAGACTGGAGCTGCCAAGGTTCGAACTACCAAACTAATCGTTTGGTGGTTTTATGGTTCTTCCTTGAAGTAAACTACATCCTTTACATTAACTGTAAGAAATAAATGCCCCAAAACAAAACTACTAACTGAACAGAACAACTGCTTTTTGGAAAGGTGATATGTACAGGAAGATTTAACGCAATAGGCCACTGGATGCAGACATGTAAAAGTCTTTGTTATACCTAGGTCATTTTTTGTTCTCCGTGTTTGTTCAATTTATGTATTAACACATGTTAATATATCCCAGTATACAAAGCAAGATCATATGGATCCTGTGTGACCCGTATAGCTCTGCTCATGGTGAAACAATGCACATAATTTGAAAATGCAGAGGAGTAAAATACATCCTGTACTTCTCATAAACATGGAAGATACAGGAGAAGATGAACACTGCACTGAACACAGCGTACTCACAGCTGGAGAAGATGAGCGGACATGAATGTTCATCCATTGGAAAGTTGTGCAGCTGCAGCTGGCACTCTGCGTTTATGGTCAACCTGCAAAGAGAACAAGATTTTCTTGTAATGAACCTCTTCTGCTTTGCTCCAGATGGTGTAAATTCATATTCAGGTTTTCAAAGTATGATCTCGATGGAATCGGTGGAATGTGAAAGGAGGAACAATCATTTAGCTATAAAAGCGTCCTCGCAGCTACATATTAGGGATTCAAGTATGATAATCAGCTAGTGTGATGCAGCTTCAAGTGTGAGAAACGTCTAAATCACAAAGCTACTGCACACTCGGGCAAAGAAGCTACTCTTCCATTTCAGTTTCAGCTTGTCCTTTGTAACCCCTGTAAAATGCTTCTTTATGTCCTTCCATGGTCATTTCTACCCAAAGAAAACATTGGCCATGAAACAAAACATCTGTGTAACATAATGTTAATACTGAGGGGTTTTTTTTGACTTGATAGAAAGTGAAAGAAGACAGAAAGTATTTTGTTTCTTCATATACTCATTTAATGATTTACAAAATCTCAAAAATGTGCTCAAATCCTTTTTAGACTCAAGCATATAGAGCACTTCATGTTATGCATTTTATTGGATTTTACTTCCAGTTTGGTTTAGTTTCCTATGAGGTTTCTGGCCCACCTTGTTCAGCTATACAAGCTGAATGCCTCGTTACTCTTCGCAGTTAAGCTTTCCAGCTTTGTTAAAACAGATCTTCAGATTTTCCTTCTGTGTCAATGTTGCCCATTCCTTAAACTCTTGCTTCAGCCTGTGCCTCTGGGAGTTTGATTGCACTTTTTGTTTTGGGGGTGTTTTTTAATTTTATTTGCTCTTTTGCCTGCATATTGCTGGCTTCAGATTAAGCCCAGTAATATAAATTTGAAATTTAGAATAGCCCAAATTATTATTTGATCCAGGGCTGAATCTCTAAGTTTGCTCACTTACAAAGAAACAAACAGACTCTTCTAGTTTGAGAGACAAACAAAAAACTAAAATCAAACAAAAACAAATATTATAAAAGTTGCATATTAATTTGCATGTCATTGAGTGAAATAAGTATTCAATCTCCTAGCAAGACTTTGTACTTGGCGGGTAAACTCTTGTTGGCCCGGTTCTTATTTTCGGTCAGCAGGTTAGCCCACATCTCACTTATGCGTTTCATATCCTGGAAGCGAAGCTCTAACTCTGTTTTGCTGTTGAACTGGCTGACGTATTTCAGTCATTAATTCTTTAAGTTACTTTACAATGAAAAACTTGAAAATTCTGTGATTGCAACTGAGACTGAATAACATCTGAAGATGCCACTCTGGACTCGTCAATCTGTCATTTTGTCTGTTCACCTTTGGGGCAAAGGTCACTGTTTCAGGGTAGACAGCCGATACAATAGACGAAACATTATATTCCTTTCACCAGTCACTGTGTATTAGTGGAGGCAAATTTTAAAATGTAAATTATAAAACCAAGCCCGTATCATCAGCCCTCCACCACCGTGCTGACAGTTGGTACGAGGTGTCAGCGCTAATGCGCTGTTTTGGTTTGTGTGTTCTGGAAGGACATCCCTGTTTTTGGTCTCCTCTGTCCAAAGGACGTTGTGCCAGAAGTTTTTCCAAACCTTGCTGTGGTGCCACGTTCTTTTTAGACAAAAGAGACTTCTCCTGCCTCCTTTCAAACAAACCATACTTGTTCAGTCTTTTTCGAATTGTACTGTAATGAACGTTAACATTTAACGTGTTAACCGAAGCCTGTAGAGTCTGAGATGTAGCACTTTTTTTTTCTCCAGTTTCCGAGGATTTCACGGTCTGACCTTGGAGTGAATTTACTGCGACATCCACTGCCTTGGATGTTCTTCATTTATGAATAATCTTTCTCATTGTACTGCTCACTGTTACTGCCCATTCCAGATTAATGGGCAGTAGCACAATAACTGCTCAGGACTGAGATATCTCTCTGAGAATAGTCCATCTAACTCTACTCCATGTTCCATGTTCTAAATGTCCCACTGCCACACATGAAAGGACACAGCAAGAGGGGACCGATGGCTTAGATCTTTTTTAGTGACACAAGGTGAATGTGCATAGTTTTATACAGTTTTCATGGCTTTCTCTGGCTGACTGCACTTGTGACAGCCTTTATTGTCCTTCAATGGATTTATAAAACTCAAAAGACAGTCATTTAGGTTGCTGTATCCCTCTCCCCAGGTCTATGTGATTGTATGCACTTTGACATAAAATAATAATATAATTAATAATAGAAAGGGGTAAAGCTGTACTGAGATATAATTAAAATAATAATAAAAAAAAGACAAAACCAAAAAGAGCAAATGGCATTTCTTATTTCACTGAAAAAAGAGGCTACAGGAAGTAATGAGGATGCCTTGACCTCTTTTTACATAATGGAATTGGTTCTGTTCACACATCAAACCATGTGACTGAGTAATCAACCATTAAAATAAGGAGAAAAAATCTTAAAGGATTATATTAATTATTCCAAAATGGCTTTCCCAATTTAGTTACAGTGAAGTATAAAAGGAATGCTCTGTACGTGTAGATTACATGTGTCACATTAACAAAAAGACGGTAAAAAGCAAAGAACAGCAGAGAGAAGGATCTTTGCAGAGTGACTCTGGTATGATCTTTCAGCCTCATTAAGGCATGGAACTGGGACAATACGATGCATGTGGGAGAGGCATGGATATCACAAAATGTCATCTCTGTTTACTCCAGCCAAGCCAGTGCACAATTAATACCAAATGACATTTCATAGCCTTCTCTCATGCCATCAGCGGATATTACTCCTCAAAGTTTGCACGCTTCTGAATAAAGCTTCATGAGGACCAATCTTTGTTTATGGCTTGACTTGGACACCGAAATGCTGCTACTTCTTTGTTGGATTTACTACTCTGTGTGAATAAAAAAAAAGTCTGATAGCCTTTAAAGACACTACGTGTGGAATACTTGGCAATACAGTTGCCTCAACAGAAAGTGTCAATTAAAAAATGTGAAGATGTCAAACATAAGGGCGGCTACAAAAAGACCGAGGACAGTCGAGAGATGCTTATTAGCGAAGGAGCATTTTATTATAAATGTGAAGTGCTGCAATTACAAAGAGTGCTCGAGGGTACGAGGGTCGATGCCTCTGTAAATTGGTCTTATATCTCAAGCAACCAATTTGCACTTACAATAGTTGAAGATAGAGGCTAATTGCTCTTGCACTGCTCTGTTTGGACAATTGTGCTGCCTTCATTTTATTATTAAATAAGGACGCTAAATTTCCTTACAAGATGAAATGAATGGATGTTGCTGGCTCAAAGGTGACACGGCACAGAAAACATCAAGATCCAGAAAAGTAATTACAAAAATCATATGGAAAAAAATGTTAATATGCTATGTACCATAGGAATGATGTCACAGGGTTACAGAAATCCCACGTTTACGCAGAGGATTAATGTGCAGGTTTTATGCAGGCAATTTTCTGGACTGGGGAAAATTTTATGTTCTTGCAAGGAGTTAAAAGCAGACAGAGGACATTTGTTTTGCATTGCTGTTACATGCTGTGCAATAAAATAAAATGCCATCACATACTGAAGATGAAACATCCGATCACTTAACGCCTCTTCCTGCTAACTCAAGCAAAATTAGCAGTAAGAACAGTAACATTATCTTAACAACTGAAAGAATAAAGCCCACACTGCAGCATTTCTTCCTGTAATGAGGGAAGTGATATTTGGTGGCACATCAGTCCCACCTAAAAACACTGAAACTGGCTCAAATTACAGGATAAATGAGCACAGTGAGAATACAAAGACCCTTATAGAGAGCACATGTATCAGAAGCTTAAATGGGGCCGAATGAAACAACATACATTTCAAATTTTATTTATAAGCACAAATAAATCTATTGTTATACTATGTTATACTTTAACTATTTGTGTACATAATACTATATTGCCAAATTATGATTATGTGTCCAGTATTAAAACAAACAGAACTAAGAAATAAGCAAATATGGGGACAGACGTAAGAATGTGTGTATGCCATATGCTATTTATGGCACCTCATGCATACTTAGTGGATATACAAGTTTATGCATATACAATTAAGCCATGCTGAGAAGCATAGAGACAAAAGAACACAAAAGAATGAGAATCTCTGTCCTGGAGTTTCCCAGCAAAAAGCCCAAAATGCACCTGAACACTTTGACTCAATGCTTCAACTGCTCTACAAAGTCCAGCAGTAACAGTCTAAATACCTTTCAAAGTTTTCAGTTCAAAACCTCAAAAGGTGGCGGTTGGTACCACCACCTCACAGCAGCCTAATAATTGGCTGGGTGTGGAGTTTGCATGTTCTCCCTGTGCCTGCATGGGCTAAATGGACTGAGCTTTATACAGTCCTTTTCTACTCTGCTTGAGTACTCAAAGTGCTGAACAGAACATGCCTCAATCACCCATTCACACACATTCATTGAAGCACTTGTTTCTACACCAAAGTGCTTTCTAGCTAACACTCACATAACAGAAAGCAACTTGGGGTACACTATCCTGCCCAAGGATACTTTGGCATGCAGACTGGAGCATCAAACCACTAACCTTTGGATTAGTAGATGATCTACCCGCCTGAGCTATTTATGTAGACTCACTGTAGCAAAGTGGCAACCTGTCTAGGATGTACCCCATCTGGACAGCTGGGATATGCTCCACCCCCAAGTTTAATAAGCGGCTACAAAAATTAACTGAAGAATGTATGGATTAAGTACAGGGAGGTTCATCTTTGTATGCATGTAACTGGGGCATGATTTTCACAGAGGCATTTGCAAGTGAAGAAGCGTCTGTGGTTAGTGATCGCACTAGATTTTTAGGGCATGGTATGTCTGGACACTGAACTGGACTTTGGGGGTCAGGTCAATTCGCAGGATTAAAGGGTTCCTTACACTCTCTGACTGTGTCTCCATATTTGTCCGGGTACGCTGAGGGACAATTCTGCATATCTTCTGACTGTGTTGTATTACAGTAAAACATGAACAGATGTCTGTGTTGAGTTCTGTCTTTACCTTAAGGTATAAAGTATCTTCCCATCGTTCCATATCCTGAGCAGCTGGTTAGGCATTGTAATCCAGTGGGAATCTGCAGTCTTGGAGTTTCTGAAGATGGTGTCAGGTAGCCAAATAAGTCCAACCATGTTGCTGTTCAGAGTCAGTATTTTCATTGTGCTGTTGTATCTGAGGCGACTGTCGGTCCACGTCTGGGCAAAGATGATGTCAATTTGATATTCCTAGAAAAACAAAACCAAACAACGCATCATTTTTTTTTGCCATATTATAATCCAAACTATTAAAAAATAAAATACTAATGCTGTTCTGTGGCTATGGGGAGAAAACAGGAGCGATGTCACCTGCTAACCAGGATTATTGAATTTCTGTTTGTGAATGACTCTTTATAGGAGTATTGTGTGTGTCAGAAACACATGAGTCTAAACCATCAATCATGTGTCATTTTCACCGGGGTCAGCGTCTATCATTTTATGTATTCACTTGGCCATACGTGACCAGTGATGCTTATTCCATCATTGGTCTGACCTTTCAAAGGCTACATTATTTTTTATCAATTTGTATTTTTTGGAATAAAATAATAATTTACTACAATTAATGTGAAATATGTAAATGAGAATGAGACAGCTGATGGACAGACCGATGGCACGCCTGTGTTAACCAGCAGACCTGTGAAATGTAAAAAAAAAAAAATCATATTGTTAAACACACTGCTGCTCCCTGTATTCATTAAAATACTCAAAATCTATTAGTTGTCCTTCTTTCAAGCCTGAAGAGTAGGATGGACAGAGCTCTTCATCTGCAGCATCAAGACTCAAGAACAATTTACCACTTCAGCTCCATTTAGCTGACTCTGTGAAGTCTTTAAAAGAAGAACAATTGAATAGCATTCATTTTAAACTACAAAAAACCCGTCCATGACTGTCTGTCCATCCATCCATCCAATTCAGGGTCGCAGGGTGGCTGGAGCGTATTCCAGCTGCCATTGAGCAAAAGGTGGGGTAGACTCTGGACAGGTTCCCAGTCTATGTCAGGGCTAACACGGAGAGACAGCCCACCATTCAAACTCACATTCACACATTTTTCTGCATTTTTTTTAACCCTGAGAGTTTCATAAGGTGATATCCACATGAAAAATGAAAAAAAAAATTAGGCATGAAAAATGCATTTGAAACTGACTGTTTTCTAATATTTTACTGGAGAAAAGTACAAAAAGTGCATTCTGGGTAAATTGTCAAGGCTCCATATCACCAAGTGCTGCTCAGTACAGGTTAGAGCAAATCACAGGTCTCCTTTTACCTACATTTGATACCACGATCATTTTGTAGCCATTATTTCTTCTTAGTCAAATTATTTTCGAATTTTCATGGTAAAGTGAAAACTGAACCTCTGACATTCTCTCACTTATTTACATTTTTAGTCTTGACTCACTCTACTTCTTATCTAACTCTCAAATACATTATCTGAATCTTATCTCATGTAGGTTTTTAAATTCTCTCCTAATATTAAAACTACTTACTAACTCTGCCAAGAGTTATTATCAAAAAGCTTATATGCAGGTTACAGTCTTCCATTTAAGCAGGGAGGAAAATGTGAAAATGAATCCAGTAGCATACCACCGAAGAGCCGATGATGCTGTTGATATAAAGTCTTTTTTTTTCAGGATTTAAAACCAAACAAATATACTGTTATGACACTTCCTGGTATTTGTGGTGGTTTTAGCACCTGAAGGTGTAAAGTGGCAATGAAAAGCCTCCTGCATTTCTCATGAGTAAATATATGTTCTCAATGTACAGTTTGGCCCAGTGTTGCTCTTATAAGCAAGCACGACTTCACTCAGTACGCTGAAATCCTGCACTCTATGGTAGCAGCACTCATGGAGTTGTGGAGGTTTTCTTGGTCTGCAGATGATGCTTAGACATTCACTCAGTACTTTTTAAAACCTAAGAAAATAAAACTAAAACAAAAAGTTATTTAAGACACAACGTGATTAAAGAACCACATCACTATTACATTAATTGCACATAGGATGCAATTTAATCAAGCTAACAATTGACTGTTATTCAAAAGATACAGTAACTATACGTGTTGTGACAAGAAAACATATAAATCATGTAGATGAGCAATGATGAGTTGTGCTAGTGCGATCTGCGATATGCCAAGCTAAAATCCTCCTCAGCAACAGCTGAGTTCTTACAGTCCTCTGGTAACAATACAGACAAAGAAGTGAAGCATAATGAAATTAATGATAGCCTGCCCTCCTCCAGCAACCTACATCTTTTTATTCTGCTGCCACTGCCGGAGATGCATTTGACCTTTTACCCAGTCTCTGCACCAGTTTGAATAGCTCACCAATTAGAAGGAAGTCCATAATCAAGAGAACCACTGGGTACTCATGACCTTTAATTGTGTGGTGCTCAGGGGAAAAAAATGTAAATAATATCCAGCACTTAATGACCAGTGAAAGAACAGAGCTGCAGATCAAACAATGAAACTTAATATGAGCTGAATCACATCTGGAAACAGTCAGCTGCAGGTGGAGGGAGAGACGTAACCCTTACCCATCAGCAATTCTAGCTTTGAGTGTGTTGTATAATTTCACATTAGAGGTAATTTTAACTATTCTGAAGGAGTATCGATCACACTTCCCCTCCCTGCTGCTTGCAGCTGCTTCCAGTCATTACAGCAGGTGTTACTGTGAAGAAAATGGGTCTTTCACCTCAAATGCCTCAGAGGAGCAGCTATATTAAGATTGCTGATGTAGAGATACTGTACATACTCATGTTAAATTTAAAGGTGCTGATGTGCATTACAAATGGACTCCACATGATCATTTCATTCAATATAAAGTACAGAATAAAAGATGTTCATCTTTCACTTTAACCAGCAAGGTTTTGATTTGCTGTCCAGCGTAAAACAGCGTTTCCAGCTTTGTGTTGGCAGTTTGGGAAATGGCCCACCTCATTTCGATATGGCAATGTCTCTCTACAAAAAGACAGAGGCATGAAAATAATGATTTTCCCAATTTGGTGTGACCTTCATCCCATTTAACACTATTATGATTAACTGCAATGTCACCTGTGAGCCAGGTGTTATCAATAAACTGGAAGAGTTGGACCTCGTTATTGCTTCTGTGGCTAAATGGGACCAAATCTCTGCGACCAGGCTTGAGCACCTGTGGAAAGACCCCAACTCCCCTCATTGTGTGTGAGTAAACCATTAAATTTCAGTTTTTGGGGAGTGGGGGAGCATGTAGTTCTTTTGTGCCGGCCGACTTCAAATTGGACAAACTTTGACCAATTGTGAACTGTCCCGACAGCTTGTGGCATTCGAGTTCCAGAGAAAATGTTAAACTAATAGGGCAGCACGGTGGCACGGTGGTTAGCACTGTTGCCGCACAGCAAGAAGGTCCTGAGTTCAATTCCAGCATCAGAAAGGCTGGGGTCTTTCTGTGTGGAATTTGCATGTTCTCCCCGTGTTTGCGTGGGTTCCCTCCGGGTACTCCGGCTTC